TGCTAACGCTTCTTCGGAGATTCATGGTAGGTTTAGGTTTGCAATTTTGGTTTTGATTTTAATTCAAACACTTTCGGAAAATCAAATTGAAAATTTCAATTTTGATTTTTTTTTTAATATATAATAAATTTAAAACGACGTCGTTTTTGTCTTTTTCCCCTAATTTTTAACTTTAAATAACGTCGTATTGGTTTCATTCGAACACAGCATCCACCGTGGCATCTGAGTCGGATTCCGTTTGCAAATTAACGGGTTTGACTAACAGAGAGAAAGTCAATGTACTAATTGGCCAAAAAACATTATTGAGGTATGTATTTACCGATTTTAATAAGTTCAGGTACTGATTAAACTATCAAAATTGTTTGGATATTTATTGGTACCAAATGATGGTGTTGAGGTACTAATCGGCCTTTTTCCCAATTAAGGAGAGTAAGAATTTTTTAGTACCCAAACACAGAAACATTAATATATTCCTTCTCACACTCATTTTTTTTAGCTGAACATTTTTATAAACACTTAGTAGTGTCCACTCTTACATATACGTAGAATTTCATGAGAGAAATTGTACTATGGTTTCATGGGGCTGTGCAAAAAGCACAGCCAGTACTTCTGAAGCATCGTTCACCTGCGCATGTCCACCATATGACGCTCCAAGTTTAGGCTATTTAATATAAGCAAAAGTTTACTCTGTATTAGTATAAACATTATAAACCGGAGATGAAATCCTTTACCTATTGGAAGAAACTGCTACGTTGTTTCAATATACTCAAATCAATCATGGGAGATTAAGGAGCCACTTTTTTAGTGTTTCACTCGAAGTGGTAGCCTAAACCTTAATTCTTTATGTATTTCAAACCCTAATTCTTCAAGATATACCTCGATTGTTATGCAAGATGGTGCCTGCAAAAACAAAGAATGTATAAAACGTTAGATGAATTTGTAACTGTTACGAAGTTATAAACAATCTAAAGAAGAACGTATAACATTAGATGAAACACTTACAAAAATTTCAAAACACAACAACACAATTGCAAGAGACAAGAAAACACAAAAAAAAATATATTTAAAAGAAGGACGTCAAACAGAAGGGAAAGATAGGAGAAGATGCCACAGGAACAAAAAATAATAAAAACAATCGAGAGGAGATAAAAACAGAACGAAACAAACGCAAAGATACAAAACCATAAACATGAGAACCAAGAAACCAATATATAGCTCGCCGATCATAAAATACCCTAAAAATCTAAACAAAAAAAAAAGAACAAATCTAACTAAACTCTGATAACTAGCGATATATATGAAGAAAATCTATTGCAAATCTTACCAACTCGAATATCCTCTTCTTCTTAGGTCGATGTGTTTTATTTTTAATTTTTGGTAAGTATTTTTGAAGTTAATTAATTAAGTATATTTAAAAATTTTCATTAAAAGGCAAAGGATAATTAGCCACCTGAGATAGTTCAAAATCTTATTTTTACTTCGCTTTTAATATATATGATTTGAGTTGACTTGGGTAGACTCACTTGACTATTATTGTTCTATCTATTTTTCCCCAGACTTTTGACCTGATTATTGAATCCCCAATCTTATAGATATCAACACTAAACCATCTGGACTTTGGTGGACTTTGGATGACTCCCTCATCTATTTTTGTTAAAGTGATGTTATGTAGCTTGTGATTTTATTGTTGTGTTTCTTCTCTAGTCTTTGCTATGTTTGAAGATAATCTTTGTAAGATATATGTAGCAGCAATGAGTTACCTTTTTCCGTTTCTTCTTCTATTTGTTTAACCTTCTTTTATGAACTATTAGCCTAAGTAATAGAAGTTTTGCTTGCTGGCTGTGATATCGTTGGAATCCTTCCGAAGTCTTTCTAATATCAACATGTCTTAGATTTTCACTTACATGTCATAGATTTTCACTTACATGTTTTATTTAGCTAACGCTTATGAAAGAGAGATAATGAGATATGTACATATCTTCTCTCTCTATATATATACCAACAATCATTCGAATCCCTTCTGTTCTTAATTAATATTCCGTTAAATAATGAGTGCAAATATATCTTCTACAACTCTAGAGTTGGAGAGAGCGTCCTCTTTCTTCCTATTCCATCAAAGTCAAGATTCTCTCCCAACTCCAAAGCTCAACTTGTTTCTCTGATGGCAAATACCAATTCCGTCGTTTTTTCTCTGGTGGATACAACTGGTACGTACTGTATTGTGTATTCACTTAGTGCCAGAACTT